AAATACTACAAGCTGGGCACAGTGGCTCACACCTGTTATCCCAGAGCTTTGAGAGGTCGTGGGAGGACTGCTTGAGGCCAGAAGTTTGAGACCAGCCTGGGCAACATAATGAGACCCTGTCTCTATTTTTTAAAATAAAATTTAAAAATAAAAAATGCTCAATATCACACATAATTAGGGAAATGCAAATCAAAACCACAATGAAATATCATCTCACCCCACTTAAAATGACTGTTATCAAAAAGACAAAAAAAATAACAGATACTGGAAAGGATGAGAAAGAGGGCCACTAGTATACTGCTGGTGGGAATGCAAATTAGTGTAACAACTGTGGAAAACAACATGGAGATTCTTCAAAAACCTAAAAATACTTCTACCATATGATTCAGCAATCCCATTGCTGGGTATACATCCAAAAAAAAGAAAATCAGTATATCAAAGACACAGCTACATGCCCAAGTTTACTGCAGCACTATTCATGACAGTCAAGATATGGAATCAGCCTAAGTATCCTTCAGTAGATAAGTGGATAAAGAAAATGTGGTATGTATACACAATGAAACACTATTTGGCCACAAAAAGAATGAAACACTGTCATCATTTGCAGCAGCGTGGATAAAACTGAGGTCATTACATTAAGTGAAATGGACCAGGCACGGAAAAACAAGTATTGCATATTGTCACTCATATGAAAGCTTTAAAAGTTGATGACAGGGAGGCAGAGAGTAGAATGATGGTTACTAGAAGCTGGAAAGGGAGGAATGGTGGTGAAAAGAGTTGGTTAATGGGTTCAAAAATATGGTTAGATAGAAGCCAGTTTTGGTGGCTCACACCTATAATCCCAGCATTTTGGGAAGTCAAGGTGGGCGGATCACCTGAGGTCAGGAGTTTGAGACCAGTCTGACCAACATGGTAAAACCCTGTCTTTACTACAAATACAAAAATTAGCTGGGCATGGTGGCAGATGCCTGTAATCCAAGCTACTTGGGAGGCAGAGGCATGAGGATTGCTTGAACCTGGGAGGCAGAGGTTGCAGTGAGCCGAGATCATGCCATTGCACTCCAGCCTGGGCAACAAGAGTGAAACTCCATCTTAAAAAAATAAATATAAAAAAACAGTTAGAAGGAATAAGTTCTAGTGTTCAACAGTACAGTAGGGTCATTATAGTAATTCTCCTGCCTCAGTCTCTTGAGTAGCTGGGATTACAGGTGTGCACCACCACACCTGGCTAATTTTTTTTTTTTGAGACAGAGTCTTGCTGTGTCCCCAGGCTGGGGCTTAAGTGCAGTGACTCAATCTCAGCTCACTGCACCCTCCGCCTCCCGGGTTGAAGCAATTCTCCTGCCTCAGCCTCCTGAGTAGCTGAGATTACAGCTGCAACACCACACCTAGCTGATTTCAATATTTTTAGTAAAGATGGGGTTTCACCATGTTGGCCAGGCCAGTCTTGAACTCCTGACCTCAGGCATTCCACTCTCTTCGGCCTCCCAAAGTGCTGGTGTTACAGGCAAGAGCCACTACGCTCGGCCTAATTTTTGCATTTTTAGTAGAGACAGGGTTTCGCCATGTTGACCAGGCTGATTCAAACTCCTGACCTCAGGTGATCTGCCCACCTTGGCCTCCCAAAGTGCTAGAAGTATAGGTGTGAGCTACCACACCTGGCCTCAACTGCATTTTAATAGGTTAAAAGCACAGTGATAAGGGAAATAAAATATTGAGAGGGAAAAAAAAGGCATAACTCTTGAGTTAACTCACCCCCTGTCCCACAAACAAAAAAGATTCTCCTATATAAGATTTGTTGGCCTGGGTAATGGGGCATATTCCAGCCCCATACTAGCTGTACCTGTAATCACGTTCAGTGATTGCTGAAGGTTTTCTCCCCCAGCTCATAGTTGTTGGCTTTTTGTTTTTTAGAGAAGGAGTCTCTTTCAATTTTTAGAGACAGGGTCTCGCTATATTGCCCAGGCTGGTCTCAAATTCCTGAACTCAAGGGATACTTCCACCTTGGCTTCCTGAGTAGCTCGGATTACAGGTGTGAGCCATCATGCCCTGCTCTTAGCTCACAGCTTTTAGCTCTTTTGAAAATCTCTATTTTACAGGTACCTGACTGTGGCAGACACGCTCTAAGGTAATCCCCAATGAGTCACATCCTTGTGCTAGCCTCTACTCTTGCTTCTAGATACTAGAATATGGTAAAGGCAATGGGATGTTACTCCCACAATGACATAACGTCATCTAAGACTCGTTTAGAGATCTCCTGCTTGCTTTGAAGAAGCTGCCATGTTGTGAGAGGCATCTGTGAGTGGGCCACATGGCATAGAACTGTGGGAGGCTTCCAGAAGCTGAGTGGTGCCCAGCTGACGGTCAGCAAGAAACAAGGACCTCAGTCTACAAGAGTAAGAAACCCTATAAGCAGCCCTGTGAGATGGTAAATGTCTGTTGTTTTAAGGTGTTCAATTTGTTATGTGTTACCCAGCAATAGAACACTTGGGTATTTGTTAGTTAGGTATCAGCAGACACTTACCTAAGAACTGATCAGTAGGATGAATGCAAATTCTTAGAATTGTACTAAGTCTTTTCCTTCCAATATGGAACTTTCACAATGCCTATGATCTCTTATGACCATTCACATTTTGGTGTGTGGAACCATAGTGAATTTTCCAGTGTGGATTTTGAAATGTTCTGCCATGTTCTTATCATCACCCTCCTCTCCCTGAGCTGCATCTTCTACCCTGTAGCAGTAAATGCTGAAGCTGGAATTCCTCTTCTGCCAAGTAACTGCTACTGCCTAGTTTCCAACAACCTGAGAAAAAGCAGTAAGTGAAGCAGAAGTAATTTCCAAGTTCTAACTAAGGGAAAAGTACAGTATAAAAAGAGCAGAAGGGCTGGCGTGGTGGCTCATGCCTGTAATCTCAACACTTTGGGAGGCTGAGGTGGGTGGGTCACTTGAGATCAGGAGTTTGAGATCAGCTTGGCCAACACGGTAAACCCTCTCTACTAAAAATACAAGAATTAGCTGGGCATGGGGGCGCATGCCAGTAATCCCAGCTACTCAGGAGGCTGAGGCAGGAGAATCGCTTGAACCAGGGAGGCAGAAGTTGCAGTGAGCCGAGATCATGCCACTGCACTCCAGCCTGGGTGGTAAGAGTGAGAGAGACAACGTCCTCCACCCACCCACCCTCCAAAAAAATAAATAAAAAGAGCAAGAGGGTTTTAACCATTAACTTCTCTACCAGCCCTCTCCAAAATTGTTAGGCCATTACATGAACCAACATTGTGGCAGGCATATAAGGTGAATGGGCAGTGGTCAAGAAAGATGCTATATTTTACTTGAGACAAAACAATTCCACATTTACAGAAATTAAGTAAAAGAAAGCACAACTACTCCAATCAGGTAGAAATTAGATGTTATTCAGCATAAAACTGGAGGAAGTAAACAAAATTTCATCAATTCTAGGCAGTTTTCAAAGGATTGTCTGCACCAATTTTGCCATGCACATAAGAAATACCCTTTCTGATCCTTGACTCCTAAGCCACCAAATCACTTTCTAATCTTTACTTTGGTTTCCCAGGTATTTCGAACTCAGGAAGGAGAATCTGTGGATGGGTGACACAAGTATTCCAATCACTGGAAAAGACTGTGCCTCACTGTACATTACACTTGCAACCTGGTTTACAGTAATTACGATATGATCACCACCCAGATGTGGTGAAGAGCTAATCTTGAGCAAGGCTCAGACCCAGCCTCTGTTACTGAGGTAGGCAAAGGACCTCAAAAGACTCCATCTACAGCGCTACTTCTAATGTAACTCTGAAACAGCTTTTAAAATTAGAACATAGTGTGTCCAAATCCTATTTGAACACAGAATATTAGCATATAAAAATAACTTCTTTTTAAAATGTCTGTAGAGATAGTATCCTCTCCATAACTGAATGAATTACTGTACTTCACTGAATCTAAGCCACTGATTGTAAAACACATTATTTAATATATACATATGGGGAAAAAATGCCAATTGGACTTTGTCACAATGTTAAATGACCACTGATTGTATGTCATGCCCTAATTTCAGAGACGTTAAAAGCGTGGGGGCAAAAACTGCAACTTACGAGTCAATGAAATGCAGTACTAAATTCAGGTAATTATTCAAATAAGGTATTAAACATTAAGTACATTAAACTGACGTAATCATTTATCATTAGCACTTTTTTTTTGTCTTTTTTTCTTTTCATTAGCACATTCTTAAAGCTATTTATCATTTTGGTTTCACTTCTCATTTGAAATGAAGAACGGTGGGGGGGCCTTGTACTAATTTCTAGCAGACATTTTGCACAAACTTTAAAACTTATGGATTCCCAATTTGGAAATCATCTCATTTTCATTTCTAGAATCACCGATCAGGAGGCGAGAAAAATGAGGCCTTTGTTAAGTGAGAGGGCAAGGCTAGGAGTCAAGGCTTGAAGCCAGGCCCCTTGGGCCCTGTTCTGTGTTCTCTTCACTGAAGTGAGACATCAAATGAGTCATAAGCATTCTATGATCCAACCCTACAGATAAGGTAAAGCAATTAATAAAAGTATCTCTCCATTTTTCTTTTACGAAACTATTCTCAACTTTCCTGGCAAAGTATTGATACCTGATAATTTGTTCAACCAATGAATTCACCTCCTACACGGTCTCATTCTATGAGAATACCCAACTTCTCAAAGACAAACGCCTCTTTGCATGCTCTGAGGGGTACAGACCACAAATATTTCCTAATCAGTCACATGCCAAATACTAGCCTTATAACAAGATCCCAGTGTATGTGTTTGAGACCATTTGGTTACTTATGGAAGACTCTGGGAATTACAGAACATTTCAAAACTTTTTAGCATTCGCTATAATTGGATCTAGAAATTTTAATCCCCAAAGCATGGTGAAATTCTGCGAATGCTCTGCTCTGAATGGCCTCCTTAGAAGTGGCAATTATTCAAGGATGTCAGTGCGTAATCCATCTTCTCTAAATGTTAGTCCCTTTTGTCCTGGTTTCAGGCAAGTGCTTCACATGGGAGTTGCCAGTATTAACAGGAGAGGACTCAAACACCACTGCATTTGATGGGCTGGTTACAGATTTCAGCTGTGGACTCTGTCAAACTATTTCCAGATGTCTCTATTACAGAATGCCTCATTGTATCATTCATTTCAATCACTTCAAAATCCATTTCATTCCATTTTTCTGCATCCTCCTCTTCATTCTCTTCCTCATATTCATTTAGCCCGGAGCTAGAAAGCAAAGCTTTCTGGTCCTCACTCTTTCTATTTTCTTTTCGCTGGCGATTAAGAGGTGAAGTGGCTAATTTATACATCACAGGAAATAAAACACCAGTGGCTACTGATGCTCCCAAAGAGGTATACAGCACTACAGGCAAATCAGGGTATTTTTCTTGAAGAATTCCAATCACTGCAGGAATAGCCATTTCTCCCAGGGCAGCACCAATTACAAAAAATGCTGCAGATTTCCCATGGATGGTCGTGTACTGTTCAATCCAAGAAATACCACTGGGAAATGTGGTTGCCATTGAGGCCCCATACACTGAAGTTGCTATCCAGAGACAAACTGGGTTCTTATCAAAAAGCACCAGAAATAAAGATGAAGTCAGGCTGCCAATGTTACTCAACACAATCATGGTTCCAGGTTGTAAGCATGTAGCAAAAAAGATTGCCAGGCCCCTGCAGGCTGCAAATGTCCCCCAGAAGATGGAGTTCAACCCAGCAGCTTCACTTTCTTTCATACCAACATGGGTGGTTGCAAATGAGAAAACGTAAGAGCCATATGTTACCTCGGCTCCAACATAGAAAAAGAAGAACACAAAAAGGAGACAAAGAAGGGCGTTGTGATATTTTGCTCTTCGAGATGCCTGAGCAGATGCTCTTGCTTTTTCCTGCTTTGAGCTATTCTTTAAAAACAGAGCAAACAAAATGACAGAAACTACGCACATGTAAGTTCCGATAACGGCATAAGCCCACAGTAAATTCATATCATTAGGTACTCCAAACAGAACTCCTGAGTCAGCGTCAGATGATCGGTTGAGTGCAGGATGATGAAAGTCAGACTCTGTGTGGTTTTCAGCAGACACTGTCGGACCCAATGCCAGTTTAGCTAGCAGTGGAGCCAAAAAGGCACCCAAAGCAAAACAGAAGTGTAAGGCCTGCATATGTGGGGCTCCTTTGTCCCCCCAAAGAGCCAAGATAAGGACGTTACCACCTATCAATGAAAGATGGGAAAAATTATTTAAGTTAAACAAAGTCGCTTATTTTTTTTTTAAAGTTCACTTGTCAGAAAGGAAGTGAGTTTATTTTACACGGCACAAGCATTATAATATTCTAATTATCAAACACTGCAATTAAATCAACTCTGAAAAGGAACTCTAACCCACTACCACCAGACAACTCTAAGCATTATAACATCACATACTCACAAATCGAACGCTACAGTCTAGTAAACCACTACCTCCGAGAGCCAAGGACACTAGCAAGAGGCTTTTTATAATGCAGTTCTAACATCAGACTGGGGAAGAAATATTCATATATTAATATTTTACATATATATATTTAGAAGGCAAAATTTTATTATCAGATAGTAGCCATACCAAAGTTTTCTGTACTTGCTCTTGGTAACCACTTGAGGAAAATTACTTACTTATGTATGTAACAGATACGAAATGTACATCCAAGAACCTGAATACTCCAGGGTTCTGGTGTGCCCATTAGAGGAAACAAGCACACCATTTAGCAACTGCATTTATACTGTTTAAACATCTAGGAGGAGAAAGGCAAGAAGCAGTACATCTTGGGCAATCTTTTTTTTCCAACAGATATTTTCAGATAAATATATAATTCCACCCTATAATTTCATAACCAAATTAAGCCCAAAGTAAAATAAAATATTTCCCCAACAGATCACATAACAGCAGCTCAGGGAAGGGAAGGGTAGAAAGCTGATTTTAGGAATAAACAAATGTAACCTGTGTTATTTAGTAGGTTTTAAAAGACATGACGATACGGGAAAAAATCTACCGCTGGAGGGCGGAAACTTTTGGGACAGAAAAGAACAGAAAAGAAAGAGAGTCTAGTCCACAGCACGAATCTCTCTTGGCTTGGAAGTCAAGGTACATGTCAAGCTGGATTGCTGTTTCTATGCTTTCTCAGCCAAACGGTGGTTCCAAACTTGGTCAACTCCTCCCATATGAGCACGATAAAGTTCTACCCCAAAATGAAAGCCTATTCACCTGCACTGTAATTACCCACACAGGGCCTTCCCTGTTGACATTGTAAATCAACCATCTCTCATAGAGCAAAATTCTTTAAGTCCATTTCAGACTTGGCTGCTCAGAAATAGGCCCCCTAATTAGCAAGAATAGCTGCTAGAAGGCTGATTCACTCTGAGGGACTCCACGACCAACTCAGTAGGTCTGTGTCATTTTACGTGGCATTGCAAGTGATCGTTTAACATTATCTGTTGTACTTCTTCTAGTAGAAAGTCCCTACTCCCAGAGATGACACAAAGAGCTCACTAACCTGTATCCAGAATGCCCATTGAAGCACCAAAGACAGACATCATGACAGTGAGTAATGCTGCTGTCTTGCAAAAAGGAACAAGATAAAGACCAACTGTGGTAGCCAACATTGACACTCCTGAGAAGGTAGAAAGTCAACTATAAAAAATAATATCCATGCAAAGTCATAGATCAAGTCAACATCATAAATGTCCAAACATGCAAAATAAGGTCAAATTTAAATTAGGTAATGAGTAGATGAGAGTTTTCGCTTCTAAAAGTGGTTACGTTATTGGAATCTTTTATAATCTTTATGGACTATGAAATATAAATAGTTATAACACAAATACATTTCCAGCACTGCTAATAATCCAACTGTAAATTATACCACAAGGCAAAGTTTTATACCAAAGGAGACAAGCCAAAATTAATTTAAATTATTCACATTGAAGAACCTAAAAGAAATTTTTAGACATGAGGCAAAAAATTAAAAAGACAAAAATAAAATGCAACTGCTAGAGTAGGTTATAGAAAAATTTACTAAATAAATTAGTTTGAGAAATAGGGAGGAAACGATAAGAAACATGTTCTTTCTACCCACTTTGGAAATAAGAGGGATTATTTATTAATTCATTAACAATAACAAATTATTATTCTTGCTTCCAAAAGAATTTTATCATATTAATCTAAATTTTCTCTAAATATTTCAATTTATTTTTTTTAAAGTATATGTTCAAAGCTTTGCCAGGCCAGGTGTGGTGGCTCACACCTGTAACTCCAACATTTTGGGAGGCTGATCTCTTGAGCTCGGGAGTTCCAGACCAACCTGGGCAACATGGTGAAACCCCAACTCTACTAAAAATACAAAAATTAGCCAGCTGTGGTGACTCACATTGTGGTCCCAGCTAATTGGGAGGCTAAGGAGGCGGAGGTTGCAGTGAGCAGAGATTGCATCACTGCGCTCTAGCCTGGGCAAAAAAAGGAAAAAAATCCCTGTCTCAAAAAAAAAAAAAAAAAAAAAAAAAAGAAGCTTTGCCTCCTATTTCCCAGGTGAGACAGAGCCCTCTGGTGTTGTCCAACGATGACATGGGGCAGTAGGGACAAAAACGTAGCCTACATCAGTTCACCCACCCTCCCATCTTCATTTCCAGTGCAGGGTGCAGGCTGGGCAGGGTCAAGGAGCTCCTGCTGATCTATGGTGGCCCCAGGAAATCTGCCTAAACCCCGATAAGCAGAGTTTTTTGGACAACCAGTATGTGATCCAGGAGCGGTATCTAAATTACAGTGGTTGGGAAGGCTTAGAGCTCATCTAAATTTCCAGAGGGCCCCAGCACAGATCTTCTCTAGCTGTCAAGGTGAAAGCAGGTACCAGGGAAACCCAACTGCCATTGAGGACACCTAAACACTACTCATTTCGGCTGCCAACCATTCTGCATGCTAGTGCTTTCATATTTTCAAAGACAAGTTGTAAATTCACTGACAGTCATAAAGAAAGTAAACTTAGCATTTACTTACCCAAAAGTAAAAAATGATTCATGACGTCAACAAGAACTCCACCAATCACAGAGCCACTCAAATATCCAAAGGCACGACCCACAAAAATGAAAGACAGACTACTGATATTTCGGTTCACATTTGTTGCCAAATCTTGAAACGTGGGTCCGAGTATAGCAACACTCAATCCCTGAAATTTACAAAGACAAAAGCTTTTACTTACAATAATTAAAATATTGTCTAACTATGTAGTAGCTTCTTCCACTATAAAAAAGGGGGACAGGGCTTGGGATTTACAATGTAATGCAGGGAATTAGACTACTGTTTTTTAGTTTTGACTAAAACTTTTTTTTGTTTTGACACCTCTCAATTTTTACGAAATTAATTTTGTTGTTCCAATCCTGTTTCTTTTCTGAACAATATCTTTAAAAGACTATTCTGTATTGTTAATAAAATGTAATATTAAAAAATACAGCCAGGTGTGGTGGCGCATGCCTGTAGTCCCAGTCATTAGAGAGGCTGAGGTGGAAGGATTGCTTAAGCCTTGAGGTTGAGGCCGTAGTGAGTTCTGACTGAGCCACTGGGAAACATCAAAACATCAAAATATTATTCCTTTTTTTGGTGTTGTTAAACAGCAATATTTCTGGATGCATATGGGGTCCTTCCCCTGAACTATACATATAAAACATGCAGGAGATAAACAATTTAAATGTTTCTAAATCTACACTTTTCTTCCAAGCCATCAGAATTACAGTCAGTAAAGGTTGCTTAGAAAATATTATATGCCCAAGTATAGAATGAGTTTAACAACAACACTTTACTCAGACAATGCAGTGTTAGCAAGAAGTAAGGATTACAGTTGACTTTCAGAGGAAATTCATTGGACACAAAAAAATGTTTCCAATCAGTCTACATTTCCAGAATATCATTGATTCTAATTGCCCTGCTCTGCTCTAAATGTATGAAGTGCGCCCCCTGCCCAATCATTAACAGTCCAAGACCAAGGACCAATGTGGGTCCAGGTGCACAGCAAGCACCTAGTACTTCGAGAGAAGTCTGAGCACAGAATCTCATCAAATTAGTTCATGTCTTCAAAGGATTTACAACAGACCTGACACTCAGTGAAGACTCACCAAAAGTCTGAAGTGATTTCTTTCTTCACCCCTCCCCACTGCCCCTAATCAAAATACTCTAAAGAAACAATTCTGGCTCAGAGTCCCTGAGATGCTAAGTGACCACAAATGACTCTTCAGAGGACTTATCCTCCCAACTCCCCAAGGATCATATATCAGGTGATAAGAGGGAGGTTTCCCAAAAGTGAATCAAGGGGCGGCCCAGGGGGTTGGCAAAAGTCGCTTCTAGCCTTGCAGTTTGCTCCAAGAAAAACATTTAAGAATCTCAAGTTGGTTTTATTAATAAATAGGGCTGTGGGCAAAGTAAGAGACATATTCCTGGCCCTATCATATTCCTGGCTGGTTAAGTAACCAGCTGTGTGATCCAGAAAAGTCACTTTCCCCTCTGGGCCTATTCCCTTATCTGCAAAATTAAGCAGTTGTACGAATTAAGTCAGACCACCAGGAAGAAGAAAAGCAGTTTTTCTGTGTAATAATTTGGGGGTTGAGTGACGGGGTGAGGAGAGCAGCGACCAAAGCCCTGGGCAACTTGCAACCTTCCCATCCCACGAAGAAGTAGGAAGGCTCGCTGGACCGGGCGCAGTGGCTCACGCCTGTAATCCCAGCACTTTGGGAGGACGAGGCAGGTGGATCACCTGAAGTCAGGAGGAGTTTGAGACCAGCCGAGCCAACATGGTGAAATCCCGCCTCTACTAAACATACAAAAATTAGCCAGGCATAGTGGCGGACGCCTGTAGTCCCAGCTATGTGGGAGGCTTAGGGAGGAGAATCGCTTGAACCCGGGAGGCGGAGACTGCAGTGAGCCCAGATCGCACCACTGCACTCCAGCCTGGGCAACAGAGCGAGACTCCGTCTCAATAAAAAAATTAAAAAGGCTTGCTGGAGCTGAAAAACATATTCAGAAAATCTCTTGCACTTAACAGTAACACTCCAACTTTAGAAGTGTGCCCATTTTCCAGATGATGAAACTGAGGCCCAGACAGATTAGGTAACGCGCCTAAGGTCAGTTTGCAAGTGGCGAAGGCAAGACTCGAACGCCCCGGCCTGGGAGGGTTGCAGCCCGGGATCTCACCAGCCCCAGGAAGCAAGAAAACAGGATCACAGTGGTGAACCACCGCAGCATGCTCCCGGTCCCACCGCTCGGCTGGGAGACCGCCACCGTCTCCGGCTCTTTCTCATTCTCCGCCGGGTCCTCAGGCTGCAGGAGCCGCTGCCCCGCAGCCGGGGGCCCAGCCCCACGGAGCTCCACTTCCAACTCCAGCTCGGCGGCTCCAGAGAAGGCGTCTTGCTGCCGCCGCGCTTCTCCGTTCTCAGCGGAATCTCTAGAGCTCGGAGACGAGCACGGGCCCCGCCCCCAGGCCCAGCTGTCCCTCGGGGAGCCACTTCCCAAGGGACCGCCCAAGCCAGGACTGGGAAGGCCAACTTCGCAACACGGCCGGTGTTCCGGTCAGCGGACGCGCGCCCTGCGGCACACAAGGCGCCTGCGCGGGTCACGTGGCAGCAACGCGGCCTCTTGCCAACCCGGACCGCGGCTCAAGCCGGAAGTTGATGTGGTTGCCTAGGAGACTGGACGCGGCTCTCTAGCCTCGGCATCTTGCTTAGCTGAGCCCACAGAGGATGGCGGATGTGCGCCCCGTGGCGGAGCGAGCTGAAGCCGCAGCCTGGGACCAGAGAATCGTGAGGTAAAACGCGGCCAAACCATTATGAGGAAAATGGGCCAAGAATTGAACGACAGCGCCTCGCGCCGGCTCCCTGGGTCTCCTGGTCCTTATACAACTTTTTGAAATCCCTGAGATGTGTCGTGATTCGTTCATCTTTCACTCCACATATTTGTTGAATTTCATTAAGTTTTCATGTATTTTATCTCAACTCTCACAAAACTCCAGATTCCACATTATCCCCGTTGTACAGATGGAAAGATTAAGTCATAGAGAGTAAGTAACAATTTGCCCAAGCTCAGTCATCAAATTAGTGGCCCTAAATAAACAGTGTAGCTCAAGAAAGAAACCGGGATCCAGAGCTGTGGTTTCAAGCACACTCCCACCCCAATTCCCGAAATAATTCCATCGTTGTAAAGAAGAGGAGCATGGCATCGATTTGAGGAATTGCTTCCTTTTGCTCTTTAACAAAGCGGACCACAGCCTCAAAAGGTCATATACTTTTCTTTATCGTCTATTTGAAATGTTCTTTTCCACCTGATTCTTCCAACTTTCATCCATTTAGGTTCACAGACTACGAACCTTAGTCTTACCATTCCTTGCAACTCATCTCTCTAGCCTTATTCATTTAGTCATTAAGTCTTTCCCCCACCCACACCCCCCCCCTTTTTTTTTTTTTTCTTTTTTGAGAGTGAGCCTATGTCACCCAGGCTGGAGTGCTGTGGCGCGATCTCGGCTCACTGCAACATCTGCCTCCTGGGTTCAAGCGATTCTTCTGCCTCAGCCTCCTGAGTAGCTGGGATTACAGGCGCGCGCCATCACGCCCAGCTAATTTTTGCGTTTTTGGCAGAGACGACGTTTTACCATGTTGGCCAGGCTGGCCTCCAACTCCTGACCTCAAGCCATCCGCCTGCCTCAGCTTCCCAAAGTGCTGGGATTACAGGCATGAGCCACCACACCCTGCCAAGCATTTCTTTTGGCAGGTCAGTTGACATTCCTTAATATGAGAATGCCTTTATTTCACTTTGATTCCTCAAAATATTTTCACTTGAAATAGAGTTCTGGGCTAACAGTTATTTTCTTTCAGCACAGAAAGATGAGATTTCTATTTGAGTTTTGCCACCCAACAGTTCCCAACTGGAGCCTCTCCTCAGGACAAACCACAAGAAAAGAAAAAAGCCAGGAAATTCATCCTTTTGCATTCTGAGTTTTGACTCCCTACCGCAATTCTTTATTTACTTTTCAGAGTCTGCAGGTAGTTGCCATTTGTATTTTATCATGAGTCTTTTAGTTGTAATCAGTGAGAGAGAGGGACTGAAGTAAACTAATGACGCCAAACCAGGGCGTTTTCTACCTGTCCTTTGAGAATCCATGTTAAAAAATAAATAAATAATAAATAAAAAATAAAAATAAAAATAAAAACAAAAAAAATTGCTTCGGTGTCAGTCTTTTCTGACACGCCTTTCATTTTTGAGGCTGGTATATTTTCACTAATTCCTATTAGTTGTGCTGCTCCTAAATCTTTTCACAGGTTTTACGTCGTGTTACAGTTCTTTTAGCACTTACCTTTAGTTCCTTAGTAGATTATAAAGTCAGTGAGATTGAAACTATGGGTGTTATATGTCTGTCCCCTAACATTGTATTACATAATAAATATTACCTGACCGAATTGATTTATTACCTAACTGAATTGAGGCTCAGTAAAGCAATTATAAAATTAAATATTTTAATTCACCCTAATTAAATATATATTTTAAAAAAGGCTTCTCTAAATGGAAAGATCTACTTTTTGATTCTCCATTCCCCACTTCACTCTTGAAAGCAGCAGGATATTTTTTCCAGTTGCCTCCAGAGGTCACCCATCGCCTTTCAGGAAAAATTTAAAATATATATATATATATATATACACACACACACACACACACGCACACACACACTACAGCATTGCTTCATGCAGGTTTCTCTTAATAGGAAGGATCAAGTTTTTTTCTGAAAGGCAATTTTGGAGAAATAAAAGTGTTTATGAGTCACATTTTGTACTGAAAATAAATATAGCTTTATCGATTCTCTTAAAAAAGTATTTTACAATGTATATGACAATGTATCAAAAAGGAAAATATCTGGATTTTAGTCACTAATCTGGTACTAACTGGGTGTATTTGTGAAATAGTAACTAGGAGGCAGGTTTTTAATCTTTCAACTTAACTTTTTTTGAGTGAGAGAGAGAATTTACACAGATCATGGTTGGAGACTGCATGTCACTGTAAGGACCTATTTAATTTTTATTCTCCAGAAGGACCATCCTTTTTACTTATGATGTTCAATTTGTGCTTATAGTGCCTCATGAAGAACTAAGTGTCACCATAACTGTTTCCTTCTGTATACTAAACTATCATTCTTTAACTTCACTGCTAAAAACCCAGTCTATTAAAACCATCTCTCATGAAGGTTTAATTTCAGTAAGACAACTTTTATGGCTTATACTATGTGCTTTGAAAAGTTGGAAATGATGTTGAAATGAACTGACATTGGCGATGATTGATAGAATATATTATCAAAAATTAGAACTTAAATTTTTCTTTACTTTTTTTTTTTTTTTTTTTGAGGCAGCCTTGATCTGTCACCCAGGCCGGAGTGCAATGACATGATCATGCCTCACTGTAGTGTCAGTCTTCAGGGCTCAATCAATCCTCTGGCCTCAGCCTCCCAGTAGCTATGACCACAAGCATGTGCCACATGCCTGGCAAATTTTTGTATTTTTTGTAGAGATGGGGTTTTGCCATGATGCCAAGCTGGTAGAACTTTAACTGGATTCACTATAACATTTAGGTCTACAGCATTCTTTGACTCCACCAACATATTGGTATCCTATGCTGTATTGATCAGACAAAATCTTTGCTGACTGTCCTATTAATAACCAAAATCAGTGATTAAGAAAATAAAAACAAAGCAACCAAAAGTGAGAACATGGCAACTATAGGCGCTATGAGAACAAAAATGAATTCGTGTTTCTTTTAAAAGTGCTTCAGAAGCAATTAGGATCATCTGCCGTAAAAAAGGAAACCACTTTAGGGTTTTAGGTGCCCTCTAAGCAAAATGGTCTTCCTCCGTCTGTATGTGGAGAAGGTCACTTACTCAAAGGGCTGCATACTTGGTCATTTATTTAGTCACTAGTTATTGAATACCTACTAAGTGCAAAGCATTGCTCTAACAGTGAAAAAACAGACAAAATTCCTGCCCTCGTGGATAGACAATGAAGAAGTACATTTGTAATATGATGTCAGACAGCAATAAGTTCTCTAAAGAAAAATAAAGCAGGATAAAGGGCATAGAAAGTGATGACAGGGGTTATTTTAGATCAAGGTAGAGTTGGGGGAAGGCTCCTGTGAGGGTGAATGACACGTGAACAGAAGTCTAACAAATGAGGGAACCAGCTATGCAAGAAGAACATTTTGGAGAGAACAGCAGGTGCAGAGATTCCATTGCAGGGATGAGCTTGGTGTGTTGGAAAAATCAAAAAGGCCAGAGCGGCTGGAGCAGCATGAAGACAGAGTTGGTAGAAAATGACACATGAGAGCAAGTAAGGTCCTGATCATGCCGGGCCTTATGTTAAAGACTTTCTGGGTGCACTTAGAGGAGTACTCTAGGGGAGAAGAGCAAGATGAAGAGCAGAGAGAACAGAGACCTAATTAGGAGGTTAATTGATTAGGTCAGATTTGTTTAGGTGATCAGAGTGGTCAGATTTGGGAAATCTACTGAAGATAAAAACAACAGCATTTGCTCATGGGCTGAGTGTATGACAGAAAGAATATCAAGGATGACTGCAAGGATTTTGACCCGAGCAACTGGTGAGTAGTGGATCAGATGGCAAAGATTCTGGAATGAGCATGAATTGTCCTAGGACATGGAAGAAAATCAGGAATTCAGGTTGAACATGTTAAGATTAAGGTATTTATTAGATAATTAAATGAAGGTATCAAGTGGAAAGCTGGATATCCAGCTCAGTGGAAGGATCAGAGCAATTGAAACAAACTGGGAGTTATCAGCATGTAGATGATATTTAGTACCATGAGACCAGCTGAGATCACCTAAAGTGTGAGTGTAGATATTAACAGACGAGGATCAAGGACTAAGCCCCGAGCACATCTCATGTATACAGATGTGAAAGATGAGGAGAATCCTGCAAAGAAGACTAAGATAAGAGGAAAATCAGGAGAGTGTGTATGGTGTAAACAAAAATTCAAGAAGGCAGGTGTGAACAACTATAAATTCCTATGGAGAAGACATTGAATTTATAGAATCAAGCACATAATCTTAAATAATTATGTAACTTAGCCTTGCTTTCCAAATGCATGGGTTGAACTAGATGATCTTTGAGGTTGCTTATAATTCTAAGTTTGTTAAGGGCGGCAAATAACTTAAAAATTTTAAACTATAACCCCCCCCCAAAAAATACCTATTCCTTATTCTCATTTTTGTCTTGAAATTTAAAAAGCAACTCAAAATTGGTGTTGTAGTATGGTTTTTCCCTTTTCCCCAGATTGGGGTTATTGTTCAAAGTTACATTTTACATAATTATTTGAAAAGGTTGTAACTAAATGAAGTGTCTTAATAATCCTTTTTCTTTTCTTTTTGAGACAGGGTCTCCCTCTGTCTCCCAGGCTAGAATGCAGTGTGCTGCCATGGCTCACTGCAGCCTCAAACTCCTGGGCTCAAGCAGTCCTCCCATCTCAGCCTCCTGAGTAGCTAGAATTACAGGTGTGAGCCACTGTGCCTAGCTTTTGTTTTAATAATTCCTTAATAAAATTGTCATATCCAAATAGGACAGAAAAAG